GAGCTTTTTGGAACGGGCTGACTCAATGTTTCCACTGTGAAAAGAAAGAGACAAGAAGAAGAGCAAGAAACCGAGATGAGAAATTTGAGACCTCTGCATCAGAGATGTGTCTTTGGGCAGAATCAGTAGCAGTTTTCAAACCCAGATAGAAAAAATATGGCAAATTCTGGCGATGGAAGAAAAGTGAACATCACATTACAACATGATTTACAGCTGCAGTGCATGACTCATCACATGCGAAGACTTATACATTTAAACTTTCAATTGCATTAAAGTAATATCACTGATGTAAAATAAATGCAACATGGTTTTCATTAGGATGGATTCATACACCTGCCGTATGTCAAGTTTCATCTCAAATGAATGGAAACCAACTGGTGCCTGAAGTGCAGGAAAAAGGAAATGTGGTTTTTTTTTTGTTTTTTTACAAAACTCAATCTGTAGTCATTTGGATAAAATGTGCAATCAGCATTATCCTTTAAAATAGATCTGCAGATGTTGTGCATGAATTGTTTCATCTTGTTTGACTGGTTGATGGAATGACTGTGTGGTTGCATCACTGGTGCACTGACTTACTGTCTGACTTGATTGCATTATCTAAGTTTACTTGGCTGACAGCCCGCTCGGTTTTTCATTTGTGTTGTAGATGTTTCTTTTCTTTTCTGCATGTCTATCACTCTCTTCTCCCTCTGCAACACACTAACATTATTGTTTGTATGTGTGTGCATGCACTGTACATGTTGGTGCCTGCATTTGTGTGTGTGTGTGTGTGTGTGCGCGCGAGCGAGATGAACTCCTTGTTAGAAGCCTGCAGAGTTGCAGTGACAGTAGGAAAATGATTTGTGGCAGCAGGTTTTCTATTCTCAAATGATGGAAGAGGTTATTTGAGGTAAGAGTTCAAATGAGGAAACTATTAGAGGATCCACCAGTGTGAGTCTGTGTGCATGTGTGTGTATTTCCTTTTCTGTAATCCTTAGGTTTAAGGTTGAAAATCAAGAGTGTTTGGTGAAACTGGTTTTGGCTTCACGTCAGACTCTCAGCCTGCAGTTTGTCAGCTGAGGAGTACATCTGCTTCTGATTGCAGTGGAAATCATACCTCTCAGCCTGACTGTGAAATACGACCAATCACCCAAATAACAGAGCAGCCCTATTGTCTGCATGGTGTTTTTGAACATAGGCAGTTATTTGTCTTCCCAGAACACTTGACTTATGGTAACACTTTTGACATTTCTGTTTGTGTTTGAATTAAACAAACAAGATACAACATGTTAATGCTGGTGCTGATTTTTACCTTTGGGCAGAGCGAGGCTAGTTGTTTTCCCTCTGCATCCAGTATTTATCTTAAGCTAAGCTAATAGCCTTCAGGATCAAGCATCATACTTAAAGCGTAGATGATAGGGATATCAATCCTCTCATCTAACACTATTAAGGCGGAAATGTAGGACAATAATCTGATCACTCACCATCTGATCCAGAGCTGCTTTGATACACTACACACAGACGCTGGTCAGAAGTAAACGCCTCAGTTGTGTTAAACCACATAGAAGAGTCTCAGCTCCTCCCAGGTACACCACATCCTCCTGTTATGCTGTCATTGACAATTTCTCCTTTCATTAGCGGTAGATGTGAAATATAGCAAGCGGCAACCACGACTATGGAGCAAAATATAATATGGCAGGACATGAAGAAGTGGCATTGTGCATTTTGGTTTAATCAGAAACGCATGAGTTTAAAATTCACACTTTTTGCACCTGAAAACAATTGTTTAAAAGAAATAACTATCCCCTTTACTATTTACATGGTCAGATACCTGACCATGTAAATAGGCCTGACCATGTATCAATAGATCAACAAATCCAACCTGCGGTAGTGAAACAAGCTTTCAGTAAGTTTGCTTTGTATCTTGAGACTCATAAATTTGCCTGCACGGTCTCTTCCCTCACTCCTCAAGCTTCAGACCATCTTGACAGTCGGATCATTACAGCGGTTCATGAGGTGAGGAAAGAGCACAGGAACTGTGCCAACTCAAAAACCACAAACCTTGTGTGTCTGTCTTCCAAAGCTGCTTTGAGGAGAGACAAGTCTCTAATGTGCAAAAATGATAAACACTGCTGTAAGCAAATGAACATTAATAACAATAATGTCAATGTTTCCACAACAAGAAAGTATAATTACATATCTAAAGGCCAGAAATGGTGTAACCTGAGAAAATAAATCACTGAAATTGTAACCCCTTACTTCTTATACTGCTTTTTTGTCTGTTGAAAATCCACTGCAACTTTCTACTCAAAACAAAGGTGAGGCTTTCAATTTAATGGGTGTTCACCTCTTCTACACCCACATGAAGCTTGATTTATGATAATGGCAGAAGTTTAAGTTGTGGAGATGAAATCAATGTTTGGAGAGTTTGCTCTTTACTTCACTGCCAAACACAACAATCCCGTCATGACACTCAGGGAAATCAAGGCTTGGTTTTAGCTCGGTGCTTCCTTTACTGGTGTCTCTTCAAATGTTGGTTCATAGTTAGAAAGTTCATAACACGATGAAAAATCTCATAAAAGAAGAAAAAAAAGTGTCACATCTTGTCAGATTGAAATGATTTTTCCACCAAGAGCAGCCATGCTAGCAGCTCTGTGAGAATGCTAACATTGCAATGCTAAGCAACGTTATCTGGAGGTTCCATTCACAATGAATGGCATCGTGCGTGCCTCCAGTGTTTGAGTCTATATGTGTGAATGGGAGAGTCAAGATGTCTTCCAGGTTCATTGTATCACTACTGTGGATGTGAGTCTTTCTGACTCTTCCATAGTGGATTTCTTTCTCCACGAGTCCATGAATCTATCAGACTTGTCAAAATGGTTCTGAGAAGGAAATCAGAGTCTTGTTCGAATCAATATTCTGGCGGTTCCTTGGTCATTTCTAACCTGTTCGTTTGATTTGGTGATAATCAAAAGCAGAATTGGAAACAGATCGTGATTCATCACATAGTTAACGAGTCTTCCCCTCACCTGTTTCCTCCTCTGGCATTAGAGGTTTCTGTGGCTTTTGGCTCGCTTTTTGAATCTAACCACACAGCTTTGATATTCCTTTCTCTCTCTCGTCCGCAAAGATCCTGTTTTTCAGAGTACAGTCTCGCCCTGGGGCAGAAAGGCTTATTCTATGCCAGTTGATGTCTGGATGGTATTGTACAGTCCATCCGGTTGGGCTGTATTTGAAGGGCTCCGTGCCAAAACAGGACATCCATCTTCCAGCGGAAAAACTGATTCTTACGCTAGTAAATGTCTTAGTTATTCTTGTAAATTCTTCAGTCAGAGCGTTAGGTTTCCTTTTTAAAGTTTTATTTATTAGAGCAAACAGCAGCTGAGGATGGACTCTTTTTTAAACATTGAAACAGCTCCAAGATTTCTCAGCTGAGAGCTACACAGTTCAGCCACAGCCTTCTGCTCTCGGCCAGTTGGAGCTATTTTTGTTCTTTTACTACAAGTTCATTAATTTAATGAGAAGAGTTCTCAGTGAAACCCATGTTTTGTTCCTAACATGGGTTTGAAATGGAGCTAATAGGGAAATATGGTAAGTAACTTGGCCTCAAAATAACAGCAAAATCTCTCGTTTGAGTTGAAGTTTCCCCTGCTATTATTAGAGGTGTTACTTAGTGTAAGTGGAGTTACCAGATACTTTTTTTTTTCATTCACTGTGGAGATCTCCACCCACCTTCCCACTTTTCCTCAGCAACAGGAACCTTGTTGTGTTTTTTCGGGGCTGGGCTTCCCGGTGTGTGTCCACCCAGGGGAAATGTCCTTTCTCTTCTGTCAATGGGGCAGAAGCTGCTGGTGCCGCAGTGATGGACCGAGGCCAAGGCACAGGGCTGCCGACTGCAGGGATTGAGAAGAGAAAAGAAAAGCAAACACCTGTTTCAGTCAACGGCGTGCCAAATGTGTTGGAATGACTGTGGAACGGTGTTGTTAATGGCAAGAGACAGGAAAGCCAGCTGGGCCACACAATGTCAATGAACTATTAGAGTCCGAACCAGAACTACAGCAGGTGATTTCATTTACTAGTCCAATTCTCTACTTGAAGACGATGAAATGTTTTATGGAAGAAGTGCGCCAGGACTGGACCTGCACGGGTTAGCCAGGATTTGATTACTTTGATAGATGATTCTAACGAGACTCAGCTTGACCTGCTTCAGCTTTCTGTAAACTCAGCTCTCATTGGCCCATTGGTCTTGAACGAGCCTCCAATCAGAGTTTGAAGAAGAAATCTGGAGAAAGTCAGCTGGACTCGGTGTCATTCCTCCGTCTGTAATCTGACAACATTAAGAGTTGAGTAGTTCATGAGGTAGTTAGCTGATTCTTAAAGAGGCGCGTCGCCAATTTTACACATAAATGTGAGTTTAATCGTGTTTGGGGTTACTGCTGCCAAAGGAGGTTCGATCAGTTATTAAATCCAACAGTAATGTTTAATGGTTGCGTTCGATTAAGAACATCACGCACACACACACACAAACACAAACACACACACCACGTTGCGCATATGCATTCGTACACACACTGACTTAAAGAAATCACACTGTACTTACCTGCTTCCTGTGGATGTAAACATACAGCATGTCCTTGTGTCCCTTTGATTTTAAATCATCACAGGATCCAGAAGATTTGACGTATATCACAACACGCTCAGAATGTTTTGTGAAATGAAAACGCACTACGCAAAAGCTAATGAAAATGATTAATTTGGACAACTTCCTGAACTGAACCAGATGTGCTGTTCAATATGTTAAATCTGCAGTTGTTGTCAATGTAAATTGCATAGATCATCATAGTTGAACATTAATGTCTGTATACATCGACTTCCCTGAACATCAGCATCCTTACTGCTGGACTCTTACTGTGTTCAAACTACTTCCTGTTTCATTTGGTCACTGGATGCTGGATATGTCTCTCATTACTACTGTAACACCCTTTCTTCTTCTTCTTCTCTCTCTCTCCTTTTTGTTGCAGGGGGTGGCAGGTGGACATAGACATGTTGTGATCCATCCGAACCAGTTGCCACAAATCCACCAGGAGCCTGCCGTGCTGTTGTGCATGGGCCTCCTGCTCCTCGTGATCGGTCGAATAATCTACTACCACGGCAGTACGAACAGCCCGGACCACTCTCAGGTTTAGTCTTTGGAAAACCCAGCAGACGTAGCATTTTTTTCTTAAATAATGTATCTGTGTTGTCGGATCCATCACATCTTGAATCTTCATTTTGTTTTGGGGGACCTAATTTTTATTCTCCATCTTTCTCTTTTGCAAATGAGGAAGGAGACGTTGGACTCATGTCTCATGACTCAATTTGATGGAGATTATTTGTTAACACATTCAAGGAACTCTAAAACGCCTGTATTTTTGTTTTTGCACCTGTATTTTTGCTTCACGGTCTCTATACCTTTGCAATGCTACCAAAGAGCCAGGATTTTGCACTCCTTTCCAGTGCAGAGGCAGTCATGTCACCTAAACATGCCTCTCTGCAAAATGACACCTTTGGAAATTCAATTGTGCCTTGTACAGTTTCCTTTTTTTTTTTAGCTTCTTTTAAGGTGTTTTATTTTATTTTTTTTGTACAGAGCTTATGAGTTCCCTGGGTGATCAACTCTGAAGACCCAGGGTTGTTAAAGTACCTAGGTCTGGTTAACAAAATTTTCCCCAAACTTTTCCCTCTGAAGATCTCAGTCCAGGAAAAATGATCTTGCACTCCTGTCACGCGAGGATCCAGCATGCCACAGACTCATGACCTGTGTGGGACACAACTGGGCCAAATTTTTGGCACACAATGTTCAGAATCTACTGTTTTATCCAACTTTCTGTTACCATGAAATACACGTCTTCTTAGAGTCAACTGTACATCAGCATTTTCAGCCACATAAATGTATTATGTCTAAATTTTGTACTAAATCACACAGATACAGAGTTTTACAAGTAAAGCCCGATTCAGACTAGATTAAGATTCCAGGGAGAGGTGAGGTGGGTAATGAAATATTTGCTGTGGTCCTCAGCTACTAACCTGCTTGTCCAGGATAATATTCATGCTGTTGACAAATTCCAGTATTTGGTTTGTAGAAGACAGAAATAATCTGAGGGACAATCATTATCACCAGAAAAGTAGATCTCTGCTTGCAAAAACAAATAATTGGGACTGTATATAATTCCTGTGGCAGGGGAAGAATAAAGCGCTCTGGACTGATCAGCAGGTAAAATATTAAAACTACCCAACTTGCCCTGAAAATGAATTAAGTTTGAATGTAGCTTAATATTGTATTTGTCTGCATTAATCATAAAGTGTCAATTTTGTTTTGTGTCATATTCTAATACCCTGCATCAAGTTTTATCTACAGCAGCTCCTGCTTCATCAAATATGTAATCAGGTATCAGTAATCCAGATTTTTATTCCTTCAAAGGTACGTTAAGTAGATGCACAAAGATTGCTGAAGTTTTTTGAACAAACATGCATATTATAGAAATTTCTAGTCTTGGAAAATTGCAAAATTAATGTTTTATCCATGGATTTCAAGAGTACTTTACAACTTATTAAACAGCAATTGGTACACAATAGACAGTATAACTTGTTCATGTGTAAAGTGAACCTGCCCAGATAGATGTTTATAAAATTTTTTTAAAACTGAACCACTGATATTAGTGTATTGATACTGTGCCAACCTCTGAGTGACTGATACTCTAGCTTTCCTTTATACAGGAAAGCCTGTGTGTTTCTGTAACCACTACAGCCACTAGGCACATGGTCCTCCACACACATACACACACTAAAGTGTTTCATGAAATATATCCAAGAATTATCCAAATACTATCTGTGTACATGGATTCCTAGAGAAAAAAAAAAAAAAAGACAGTAAAAAGCATTAAGAGGCTTCATTTTCCTCTTTGCTCCGGTTGTATTCAGCATTAAAAACCAAAGATTTTGCACGTTAATGTTCAGAAGCAGGAGCAGATTATTTCACTTGTTAATGCAACGATGAGATTTTAATACTTGTTACTGAGCTGCCCAATTAGTGAAACTCAAAAGAACAACACGATGAACAAAATGAACAATCAAATTATGTCAATCATTTAAACATTTTCTCACATTCTGCCTTTTGCATTTACAAGCCTTAGTTCGACGACGTTTCAATATTCAAAGCAGCTTTTTCTGTAGTGAGTGATCAAACAGTACCGTCTTCCACCGTTCTCCGTCTCAGCCTCTGGATTTACCATTAGCAGCCGGACTGATGTAGCTGACATGTGTTGGTTTGTTGACAAGGTCATGGTATCCGTTTATTAGTGCAGTGATTCAGACCCAGCCAAGTCTCCTCACGCCTGCCAGGTCATTAAACACTCTGAGAGAGAGAGAGAGAGAGAGAGAGAGAGAGAGAGAGAGAGAGATTTCTGGACAGAAACCAAACACTGAATAACACAGAGTCAAAGAGGGGTTTTTGTTACTGACTGGTTACAGCAAACAGTGGTGATACGGGCTTCAGATTACGTACATTTATTCTTATCTTTGTGCTCATTAAAACATATCAGTTCTGGTCACTGTAATTTTTTATTTATTAGGTCTTGGCTTGTGATTACTAAAATGCATGATAGCAGTTACAGCTGATTTAACTGAAGCAGAGCGACGATACCCAGCTTGTGAAAACCTTATATGCAAAAAATATGAAATACCTGGAGGATGCTGTTTGAAATACGTCAGTTTCTTTAGTTAGCTGTTCAGTTTTAGGTGTTCAAAGATACAGTGTTGAACAAGAATTATGCAAGGAAAAAAAAAATGACCCAAGCACCTTAAATGGCTAAGAGTATATGCATGTTCAGCATGAGGGATGCGCTGTGCTGCTCTTTATCTTAGGTGGGGGAACTTGACCAGATGTGCAATTGCCAAACCAACCAGTGACTCCTCAACAGTGAAGCCTTCTGTCTTGTAAAACCGAAAACACTTCAGATAAAGCATTAATCTCCCAAACAGGACTATTTATAACCCAGACTGGGTGTGGGTTCGCCATTTTCTGCCCATTGAGCTACGCAGTAGTAAACATCAAACACTGTATTTTAATGTTGACCAAAGAGATTTGCGCCATCCTGTATGTTGTTTTGATCGGTACCAATCAATCAGAAAGTCAGAATATGTTCATTCAGGAATCGCATTTAAAACTTTGCTCTTTATTGGAAGTTCATCTGTTTCACATTGCGGATACTGTTTTGTTATTTGTGTCACATGTGCTGGATTTAATCGTCTAAAACAAATTAGTTCCGCTCCGTGTGAGGCTACCCACACAGGAACAGCAAATCAGAACAGCAACAGAAGTTTTGTTGTAACACAATCAATAACTAAATTCATCTGAGTATGTTTGAGTCACTCCTGGGTGTTTCCGTTGTCCTGTCAACAGCCATTCATCACAGATTAAGTGTGATCCTGGCTTTCATCATTCCCAAAATCTCATTCCAGCAACTCTGTAACCTGTGAAATCACATTTTTTTTTTTTAATGGTTAAATCAGCTGTTCAGCCTCAAGAGTTTCATTCTCTAACATCCTACTCTGAGACGATGGATTAGTGTCAGGTTGTCAGCTCAGTAACTGAAGCTTGTTGACACATGTTTTTGCACGCATAAAGTACATGGTGGAGACTTGGATGATTTATTTCTGTGGATAAAATCGACAGAAGAACCTGCTTTTGTACAGATGTCGAAACTTCACGAGCTGATCCACCTCTCACGTGAAAACAGTCTCACAAAAATAATGTGTGAAAGACAGAATCAGTCAGAAAACAGTTGTAAACGATGGATTAAACTCAGAGGCGGGGCCACAATCTGATTGGCAACCCAACATTACTTGTTGGAAAGTCAGTCAAACAACCACAAAGGGATACAGGACAACCACAAAGACACACAAACTACCACTGCACCACATTCAAAGGGTTTTTTAAAACCCTTTAAACCTGCCCCTGGGTAAACCTACTTTTGCCCAATTTTAATTCATCAGTCACTAAAGTTTAAAACTTCATTACGTCCACATTTTCTTTTCACCACGCTGTATCACACTACTTTCTGTTTCTAGTCGTGTTTCCTCCTTGTCATTCGTTTCCTGGTAGAGATTCATGTAAAAGAAGATGAAACATTTCAGATTAGTGACACACAATATTCTTTTGGAGATGCAAACGTTTCACGCTCGTCTTCCTGTGTACCAAATTTACTCGCTTTGCTTTTCCGCCGCTGTGACACTGAGAGCGCTGTGACTGCATGTTGATTTGTGATATTGTGCCATGTGAAACCTTAGACCTCATTTTGAAGTACTGTATTAGAGCTGGAGTGTGAGAGGAGAGCATGGCAGGGAGGAAACCGAAAGATGAATTACCGTCTTCTGAAACTGATATGGAAACCTGGTTATGTGTTGATTCATCACCTAACTTTAGTAGGTGTTGCAGCACAGAAACAGTTGTGTGACATTTTACTTTTACTGGCTGGCGAATTGTATTTGTTTGAGCTTCGAGGATTAATGGAACAGGAGAATCATTCAAAGTCAATGATCTGTCCACAGGAAAAGCAACATTTATACTTCTTACTGTTTTTTTCATTGGATCTGTTAAAAAGTTAAAACACATGAAGTATAGGGGGCCCAGAGAGACTGTGGTGTGTTGTGCTTTGCTGCAAATGCTGTACAGAAATGCAACTATTGGAGCCTGTTTGTGCAGAAATAGAAACAAACTAATATGAACGACTCCAAACGACCCAGTTCAAATGTAGCAATGATTTTTTTTTTTTGTTTATACTGTTTATACCATTTGCAATATTGTAATTATGCTGTTTTAATTGCTGTAAATAAAGCATTTTCATCTTTTTACATTTAACTGCATGAGGGATTTATTGTATATTGTACTTGTTTGTCAACAGAAATATTGCGTTATTGTACTAAGTTATTACATTTACCTGACAAACTAACTGTTACTTCTTAGTTTGCAGATTAAGATGATCAATTTTATAACATATAATGATTTGTTTTAAATTAAACTATCCCCTAACAGTAGAGAAAACACACAAGATTAGTTATAATAATTATTCATTTTAACATTAATTATTAATTTACAGATAAACTTTTGAATAAACAGTATTTTTGGCTGGACCGGTCTAGCGCGACATCCCTAAATGTATGTGAGTGAGTGACACCATTGGTCTGTCAAGTGTTGGACTTTTCCCATTGGCACTTTCGCTTTCAAAATGGTTTGACGTGAACAGCGGATCCACGCTTAAAAAAAAAAAAAAAAAAAAAGCACCTAATGGCAAATCTTGCGACCTAGCTACTTTCCGCAGAACAGTCCCCAGAACTGCCCTGCCAGTGAGAGGCGAGAGCCACTCGGATGAGAACATCTTTACTGAGAATTGCCTGTATTAAAATACAGTATATGTGAGCACAGAGAGTAGGAGAGAAGCAAACGGATAAAAGACTGAAGCCGTCTGACACAAGGCAGAATGCAAATATCACACAAAGATGTCATGAATATGCAAATTTGCATTTTACATTCATATGGAAAACTTGACACCATGCTTTAAATGCACAGTCTTAATACTCCTACCCTTAGACATAGACCCAGTTTACATAAATACCATAATACCGTAAACTAAATGTCCTCCATTCTCCTTTTAAGTACTCTTAACAAGAATTAGTGAGATATGTTTATAAACTATAGACTAATAATCATTTTTTGTAAAATCCATATATGGTCCATCAGCAGCCTCTTAGCTCGTTTCAGGTCATCGCACTTTGCCGGGATAAAAGTTAATTGAGGTGAAATGAGAACAGATTTTTTTTTTTTTTAGGGTAACTGTCTGAGGCAAACTCTCGCTTGTTATTTTCTTCCTCCCATTATCGTGTGTGTGTGTGTGTGCGCGCTTGTGTGTGTGTGTGTGTGTGTGTGTGTGTGTGTTCGCTCATCTGCAGGACACGGAAAGTACGGTGCCTTCCACAGCTTGGCACAAACACATGCTCAGATAATTATATGTCTTCCACACACAGTCACTCATACACACAGCTCATTAACACACACACACACACACACACACACACACACTTGGTCATGCGCACAAATGGCTCCCGTGTGCACACACACACACACATTCACACACGTAAATGAGTCAGAGCAGCAGTCCGGCAGGGTGGATTCCTTCATCTGCAGAAAGAGAGAAGTAAGTGTTTTAACCCTTTGTGGTTTCAAGGTGAGAAGACAACAAGACTCAGATTCTACTTTCATACAGCAGATTTGCTTTTGTTAAAGTCAAATTGAAATTAAATTTCATCATGATGTGATGCGACAGCATACAGATCAGCTTTGTAAAGGTCATGTGCTGTGCATTATTTAGAGACTCTCCGGGTTTTTGGAGAAACGCCCCGTCTGTACGTATAGTCACTCAGATCATTTGACTTCCAGTTATGAAAACCTACTGCTCTATCTTTAGTGGTGACACTGACCAATAGCCAGGCAGCAGTTACAACACATTCGTTTTCTAGCTAATATGATTGCATTTATACATTAACATGTAATAAATGGTATAAAGTATGTGGGTTTAAGTGGCTGTAAGGACATTTTTATGAATGTACATGAATGTATTTGTCAACAATTATAACTTCTCATCTTCCTTTTATATATTTACATCTGCATTTTACTACACTGTCATTGATTATCTGTTTGTACAGTAGCCTCCACTTACAGGTGCCCACAGGAGGAAGTAAGCACATTAATGGACACTTGCTTACAACGGCACGTCCCGTGTTCATCTCGGCTTGCTGAATGAGCCACCACACAAACATCCACCAGGAGAAAAGTGCACCGCAACTGTCAGTTTGCAAGGTAGGCTAATTAACTAATTCCCTATTGGTTGTAGTACATTAAATAGATCAAGCCGGTTTGGTCTCTATACACACCACAGCCTCATGTCTGTGTTCAAAGACCTGTGCACCTGCAAAATTGACAGACCCCCAGGGGCCCTCAAATGCACCAGGTTAATTTTATAGCAATCAGTTTACAGCAATTCAACTGAAACTTTGGGAATATGGGATTATGCATCACTAAAGCACGATATCAACTGATATGATAAAGACCCTGACGCCTGGGACACACTGCCGGCTTTGTGTGTGCGTGACGGCTACCTGGCTGAGCTGCTGCGGCTGACACGCATGTGTGTCCACACCACATGTGTGCCTGCTGCAGAGCTGCTACTGCCAGCCCTGTCTTTGCAGACACTCAGCACCATGCTACTGTCAGCTTAATAAACTTATATTATCAATGTTAGCTATTTAGCATAACGGCCCTTTATGCTAATACCAGCAGTCATGTGACTTTTAAGATATAGAGAGAAAATGCTGCCCTTCACCTCTTCAGTTATATATATAATTATAGCTTACACTGAGTTTGTGCCCTGACTCTATGGTACACGTGTAGCCTCCCCTTTCTCCTTTAATAACATGTAACTGCTAAAATGGTTAAAAAATATAATGTTTACATTTTTCACGTGTGTGACATATTCAGACACAGCCTTGACATTGAACCTATAGTGAAAGGTGTCAGTTATGTAATGTTGCTGGTATGATGCCAGTGTCACTATCAACAGATCGTTTCCCTGTCTATTTCACTCGGAACCACATGCGTCACGCATGACAAATAGGCGAGACGCCGAAACCGTAGCTGACACGCTGCAGCAGGGAGGCAGCTCATTTTTGCCCCAGGGCCCCACAGCAGTTAAATCCAGTCATGTAGGTGAGAAGAAGCAGGCAATGGTATTTAATGCACTGTGGTGTGTTACAGAGGTTGCCTATTGATCTAAGAACAGTTCCTGACAGTAAAGCACACTCCAATCCAATATCAAGACACTAGCAAAGTTACCTTTAACTGCTCCTCTGCTTTAAAGGTACAGCATGAGTTTTGTCATTCATGTAAATGTGATTTACTGTAAGTTGTGAGGTCCCATCTGTGGTATCTCATATATTGATGCTACTAACAGTAAAGCATTGGCCATGATTACACAGAAAAACAACTTTGTACTTTTGTGGTTTACAATGGTTTGGTTGCAACCAACACCTTTCCTTCAAACCACCACTGCCTACTGTGTAAAGCACAGCAGGAACCAGGTGTGCACATAGTTTCCTCACTGTTACCTTTCACTCTCAGCTCTCTCTGTCTCTCCCACACAGTCAGTGAAACAGCTCAGTCTGCTGTATGTTTTCTTTGTTGGGGCCAAGAGGAAAACGTATTCAGGATGCTGTGGTCAGCACCTCCAGTCTATTCTCTTCCTCTATTGACTGTTGTCTGTGAGTGTGTGACATGTGAGCCTCCGAAAGACATATTCAGACCATTTACCTCAATACAACTATGATGAAAAAGTTTATCCATTACAGGTAAAAGTCCTGCATTCACAAGCAAGAGTGTGTGAGAATTATCAGCACAAAGCAGCCAATGCTCTGCACCATGTGACTGTCAGCATTATAAGCTTAAGTCATCAACGTTAGCTATTTAGCATAACTTTCCTTTATGCTAATACCAACCTGAATCTAGCTAAATATACTATTAGGTAGCCTGCTAACCTTTAGCTATGATTTTAACTCATTCATCCAAATCCATCCATAATATAAACTGATTTTATTATTCATTTTATTTGCACAAATTATGATATTTCATAGTTTCCAACTGTCCCCTAAAAAGCCACAGTGTACTCATTTGATCTAAAGATGGGTAACATATAAAAGAAAAACCAACATGAGGTGTCTTAATAAGGCATTGGTGCAACACATGCCTCCTGAGCAGCCGCAGGGCTCCTTGGCAGAGACTCTACAAATCAATGAAACTCTACTGGGAGATGATGGAACATCATTCTTCCAAAGACTTTCCCTCATTTTGTGTTTTGATGCTGCTGGAGCACAGAGTCTAACACATCGCTCCAGAATCTCTCATAGATGTGCAGCTGGGTTGAGGCCTGGTGACTGTGTAGGTCAGTGCACATGATTCACGTCATTATCATACTCATTAAACCTTGTGTCTTGTGTGTCAGCATCTGCACTCATTATGCAATCTCCTAGAAATTACATCTGTGTACAACTAAACTGCAACAGTAAAATACATCATTTCTGCTTAGATTATGTGTAGAGACAATGTCTGAATGAATGAAGCAAAACATTTATTAACAGCGGCGGAGTCACCAGGATGTGGTTGGGGTGGATGTAAGGGGTATGAAGCACATAACTGTCACACCAGAGACTGGGGTTTGCCTCCACAGTCCTGTCTGTGGTTAGTTTTAGGCAACAAAAGCACTTTGGTTGAGGTTAGAGAAAGATCATGGTTTTTGTTAAATATAGTTAAATAAACATGTTGTGTCTGAAGTCATTGTGAACTTTTTCTGTATTAAACCTTACCAAATACATTGTCTGAGAACATTTTCACTGGTACGTTCAGGACTGACGTATTAGCGACTTGCCAAATATGTAAATTAACAACAAATCCTTGTTATGTTATTTGAAAATGTAATCCGGTTTCATTTAAGTTTCCTACAACACATATTTGCTGTTGCAGTTTAGTTGCATATTAACGTAATTTCTAAAAGTTAGGATTGCATTATGATGTTCTGCACACTAATTCAGAATTCATTATCTAAGTCATAGTCGGCCTATCTGTTAACACAAACTCAAAAGTGATGCGGATTTAGAAGTATAGGCTTCTAATTTGCAGTGAATTCTTAAAACCAGGCTAGAATTAGTTTGCAGTATGGCTTTTGGACATAGAAAGGGTTTTTACAGCTTTAACTTGGTTAGTGATTTTGGTTTTTGTGGTCTAACATGAATGTTGTCATTTCCTTGTCGTGAGGG